GTTCATATAATAAACATGGATACAATTCAGATTTTATTAATTCTAATCCCAAACTATTAATTATTAATTATTGAAAAATTAAGAAAACTTCATTTATTTGAGCTTCAGAGTTACGGTTAACAATTCGAAAATAGATTTGTTTGTTCATAAAACAATCGAACAATTGGTGTAAATGACTTTATGGACTAGAGAAAAGCTTCAATTTTTTTGGTACACTAAAACTTGTCTTATTCTTAAAAATATACGTGTACTACCCATCACACTTTTCATCATCAAACATAAAACTTCAACCTAATTTATCAAAGTTTTATTTATTATTTTTAATAAAATTTATGTAAATTTTGATTTATTTTTAAATGTAAATTGATTTGATCCATTTTTTTTCATACGATATATACAGATATTTGAAGTACTGGACTCTAAAGTGGTTGTCTTACTCAATAGCACTTGATATTATTATTAAACATATTGCTTCTCTGTGTACGTAATTGAATTTATGCAAGCATTAATTGGGTGTTATCAAATTTGATATTACACTTACTTCAATTATATAACGTATCATGTAAAATAAAGATTTACATTTTAGTAATATTGCTATATATATTCATTTATCAACTTTCTTAAATAATTAACATAAATTAAATTTCTTATGAGCAAAAGTTACTATGTTTAATTTTTAAACTGAAAAATTTCTTTAAAACTAAAAATTGCTTGGTCTGATGATCAACGGCTTAAGTTCTCCAGCCAATTGTAATTTTTGAGTATGAAGTGTGTTAAGACATTTTACCCAAACAATGATTATCGAACATTTTTAATAATCGATAAAAATGTTTATAAAATTTAATAAATTATTATTAATATACAAATTTATAAGAAAATACAGTATTTCTTTGTATAATTTGAATATGAAGACAATAATATTTTAGATCGATATATTAGGATCATCAATATAAAAAAAAAATGTTCTAATCGAGTAAATTGATAGAACTTATTGAATTAAAATTGTAAATTCAGTGTATTGAGTTTGGTGAAATCATTTGGACAGTGAATTGCATACTTTATGTAGCAGTAAAACAGTTTTCAACGGGTGATAGAGGATCCTGAAGAACGGTGAATGCACCGATCGATTTGAATTTCATTCCGTGATATTTGATCTGCAATCCGTAAATTTACATAAACGTCGCGATAGATCGCCTGGGATTTAGGTCTTGTTAGCCACGGGCGATCCCTTTCATTTCGAAAGTTAGGTTTGGATTCTATGGTAATTTTAATGATGCGGTTTTGTGATAAGGGCATAAGAGCGGCGACGATATTCCGAAACTTTCGCGGACGATCGGAATATAATCCGTGGATTGAGCAATTCACATTGCCAATTGAATCTAAATCAAACATTGCCACATCTTTGTTTATTGAATACTGCTGTTTCTAATAGATAATTGAAAGTTGATCAAGTTTACAGTAAATCCTTTTTATGGTAATTGGAAAACGCGCATACATTTT